ATATGCTACGCTTGGATCCTCTGATCAGCTGTAAAAATAGAACCTCTATTTATGAGGTCAAGCAATGTTTGCTCATCTATTTGCTATAACTTGGATACCCCTGGGCGCGATGGGCTATCTTCAAGCATGACGCCACAAGTTTCCAAAATAAAGAACCTCATCAATGCACATCAGCGTAGTAGTATCAAAATAAAGCACCTTCATCCTCTGCGATCTTGATTCCTGGATTACTGAGGTGACTTCTGAGACGTTGGGCTGTTCTCCCAACAACAGTCGCCCCCGTTTTTGCTGGTAATACTATCTGCCTATACCACCAGCTGTTACGGCTGTCAGGGCGTCTGGCGGGGCCCCAAGGTAGAGCGGGACAGATGAGTTCCGTTAGCCGTCGGGTGAACGTTCGTTAATGAGTGCCATTATCCCCCTACCTAACCCGACAAGACAAAGAACTCATGGCTCAATGGTTAGGGCGTTTGACTCTGATCAAAGGGGTCGTAATTTCAAGACTCGGGTGGGACGCCACTTCGGTCTGGGTATGACTGGCTGACGACGATTAATAAATCAGAAATGGTCATTCCGGTTTCCCTTGTCTTAGTTTTAAGAGATTTCCAGGATCAGCAACGATCGAGGCCTGCTTCACGGAGGTCGCCATTTCAGCCGAGTATTTCTTCCGGCCACGCCGTAGCCTATTTTGCTGACATCTTTGTGAGTTGGCGAAGATGAATCATCACTACGGCACCTGGTTCGAGCTGTCTGCGCAGACAACGGTAGGGTTCTTCCGCTGATCCAATCACTGCGGGTCGCTGAGTGTCTCCAATAATTATCTAAGCTGCGCCATGTACTCGGTTTTTCAGCGACGACAATTGACTACTGCAGTCCTTATTGGTCCGGGTCGTAAAACAGGACCGCTTTTCTCTGTTCAGAACCTCGGAAATGCTGAGTTGCCTAATTTTGACGAAATCGAGGTACCTAGCGCGGGGTGAGCTTTCAAGCATGTAGCTATGGGTATTACCAGTCTCGGCACCATGGAGCGATGTGCTATCATGAAGTCAGCTGCGGAACCTTTAACTGACTAAACCTCAGTCCCTATGATTGGTCGTGTGATAATTACTTTAATACCAGTTTAGCAGATAACCGTTGCGATGCGTACGACACGTGTTTCGACCAAGAGTCGGTTTCATTGATACATCAATGACCACGTCCAAAACGGCAATTATAGTGACTGTTTTTGAAGTCATCGGATTTAGTCCGGTCATTTCGGATTGCAGCAACCATAAGCATATCGCGATGAGGGAGCCTTTCCTGTAATGCTTGCAGTTGTGAACCAAATGTCTCTTTAAGGCGCTGTTCGGAAGCGGTAGCCGTTGCGTATCTAGATTACTCAACATAACTTTCAGATGCTGGGAAGGAATGTGCATGGTCCAGCTGTACAGAAACGATGTTTACCTGCATAACACCTTACTAGGTGATATCTTAGGC